ACATTGAAAAGTTAAGCTAAAAAAGTGTACATATTATGTCAAAGTAGTGCCAAGCTGACTTTGCTATTTTTATTTTAAATAGCGAAACTGTGTTTATTTTTGGGAAGTTAGCTGGCGGCGCCACAATCTATATAATCTAACACTATTATGTATAGTAAATTATACGTATGCCTTGTAGATGAAACTGTGAGAGATACCCCAAGCTGCATTTTTCCGCTCCCAATTTTTTTTTTTGCATAAACAATTTTTTGGCTACCAATTCATAAACACTGTGCAAATTTAACACACATAATAATTATTCCACTCTGATGCCTAGGTTATATTGGATTTTGCCCGAATTTTAGTCTACTATAAAGTGCCTGGAATTTGTACTGATAAAAAAGCTGATAAAAAAGCTTGTAAAAAAGCTATTAAAAGAACAATGTGAAAATTTACTGTTATAGAATAATACCCTATTAAATATTTATCAGTTTAGGATAATGTTATGGGAATCTTACTATTGTTGTTGTTCCAATCAGAACACACATTTTGTATTGCATTTATGCCCACTTTTTTTTTTTTTTTTTTTTTTTTTTATTATAGACATTATATTACGTAAGGTTATATACATGTTCAAATTTTGTATCTTAATGGTAACAGGTTTATGATATGATTAATAACAAGTATATCCAGCACCTAGATGACTTAACATCCGTATGTGCCATTTGAATTTACCTTATTTGTAAGTAAATAATAATATGATAATTATTGTGTATTGTTTGTCAACAGCAAACAACATCACAATATTAATCCTAAAAAAAAGTTCATTTTATTTTCATAATCTAAGAACTAGCCTAATCTACTCCTAAATTAAAAACTAAACTAACATAGCCTTCCCATCAAGGAAAGGAGAATAAACTCCCAAGAGATTCAATCAAAACAGAATCATAAATTGCTGGAGATTCCTGAAAATGTATCTCTTACATTCAGCACAGAATTTCCTATGGTTCTTAATAAGTTTTATGCTACCAGGAAGCAAGTTATAACATCTTGGAGCCAAATAGTTTATGAAGCGTAAATTGATATTTCTATTACTATTTGGAATAGCTAAGTGTCTGTTGACTTTAGTCCTAGTAGCATAAGCATGGTCTACATAGTTTCTTAAACAATTTTTTTTATGTACAAATGAGCATATATTAAGAATATAGAGGGAACGAACACAGATAATGTCCTCAGAAAAGAGTAAATGAGTTGGGTATCGCCTTTCTTTTTTGAAGATAATTTTTAAAATATATTTTTGAATAATTTCCAACTGATGTAAGGAATTTCTATAAAGGCCACCCCACACAACCACACCATATCTGAGTAGTGATTCTACAAGTGCCCTATATACACATATCAACAGCTTTGTACATAGTATTTCCCTTAAGCCATAAAATTTTCTGATAAGTGCTCTAATGTTATTAGTTACTTTGGAGACATGTTCTTTCCATTTAAGATTTTTATCTATTATGATTCCTAAATATTTTGTAGATGAAACCTCGTTTATTTCTTTGTCAAAGCCTTCAACTAGAATGTTGGTAAAAGGTGGGCGATTAGCAGCTGTTAAGGAAAACGCAATGTAATTAGTTTTATCTATATTTAGGGTGAGTTTGAATGAATCAAGCTAATTTTTGACTTTAGAGATACCTAACATTGCCAGATTTTTTACTTCGTCCCAGGATTGTGCTCTGAAGACAATAACAGTGTCATCCGCATAGGATATTACAAGACCGTTCTCTATTGTTAAGTTCGTTAAGGAATTTATATAGGTTATGAAGAGTAATGGACCAAGGACAGTGCCTTGAGGTATACCAATCTTCACAGATAGAGGTTCACTGTAAGTGTCCTGAATCTTAACGACCTGGCTACTGTCACGAAGATAACTCTCAAAGACTTCTAGCACAGCTCCCCTAACTCCATAAATGTTCAGCACATTAATTAAGGAGTCATGGGGAACTGTGTCAAAAGCCTTCGCAAGGTCCAGGAAAACAGCTAGACATTTGTTACCATTATCTAGATTATTTGTTACATTTTTGGTCAATTCGTAGATTGCATCTGAAGTGCTTAGACCGTTACAGAAACCAAATTGATGCTTTGACAAAATATTATTAGACAAGAGATAGCTTGATAATCTGTCTCTTAGGCATTTTTCAAACACCTTTGCAAAATTGCTTATTACACTTATAGGACGAAAATTAGTTATTTTAGATTTGTCTTTATCTTTAAATATTGGAGTTACAATAGATTTCTTGAATCCTGAAGGCACCACCCTTGTGCTAAATATAAGATTAATAATATGTACAAGTGGATCAATTAAATGCAAATGAAAATGTTTAATAATTCTTGATTCTACACCATCATAACCAGGAGCACAATTATTTTTTAGAGAATTTATGTGACTAATAATTTCATTTTTATTAACTGGTTTTAGGAACATGGAACTTAAAGAGTTATGATCAATCTGAAACATGTCATCAGGAGTCACTATTCTATTATGCATTTTATTACCGATACCGGTGAAAAATTCGTTACAGTAGGTTGCCATGTCTTTTTTTTTTTTAAAACAGTATATCAAACTCAAGCTTATCGCAATTGCCAGAACATGATTCTCTAAATTTTACTACAAAAAAAATAATAAGAAAGGAAAACACCTCATTGAAATGGAATTACCCCATTAAATATTTATCAGTTTCAGATATTGCTATGGGAAATACGCTATTGCTGTTGTTCCAATCAAAACCTGCACTTTGTATTGCATTAATGCCCACTCAAAACAGTATCTCGAACTCAAACTTATCACAATTGTCAGAACGTGATTCGCCAAGTGATTCTCTAAATTTTACAACAACAAAAATAATAAGAAAGAAAAGCACCTTATTAATCCAACTACCCCGTTAAATATTTATCAGTTTTAGGCTTGGTTTTAGATAATGTTATGGAAAACATGCTATTGCTGTTGTTCCAATCAGAATCCGCATTTTGTATTGCATTGATGCCTACTCACAAAACAGTATCTTGAACTCGAACTTATCTCAATTGCCAGTACGTGGTTTTTCAAATTTTACAAAAAAACAAATAATAGGAAATAAAATCACCTTATCGGACCGAAATGGAATTTTGTAGGATTTTAAAAAAAAGTCAAAATATGCTTTATTCAATGATATTTTAACTGAAGAAACTCAATTTTTCACATTTTCGTATTCCAAATAAACACTTCTTCCATTTCTTTTCATAGTTGCATGTTAGCTGGATTTATTTGACTGTTAGAAATATTAGGAAAAACTGGTTCAAAATATTGAATTTTAGAATTTCAATGCCACCTAGTAAATTTTTCTAGGTAAACATTAGAATAATTTATAATAAAAAAATTAAAAAGTCATGTGTTCCTCAAACTTGACGTCAAGCTAATGAGGTGGAATATTGATTGCAACTCGGAACAAACCTTTTGAATCTTTGAATTATGCTTTGTGGTCCAATCCTTTTTTTTCGATCGTAATAGTTTTTATAATAATAGGTACTTACTTGATTTTCTTCAAATAAAAATTGTACTTAAATGCTGAGTTGAATACTATTTATTCTCAACACAAAACCAAGCAGACAACATTTTATTTGAGAAATAGTTGATCTACCTATCTATTTTTGGCTAAACGCTATTATTATTTTGATATTGACTTTTTCTGTAACAGCGCCATTTGATTTTTTACTGCCTACATTTTCAGTGATGTCTCGCCAACTTGAGTTTAGCATTTAGCGAAACAAATTTTTTAGTTCCACAACTAATTGGCGGCAAATTCTAGGTAAGGATAACGGCTCCGATTTAGTGAAGTTGTTTCGCTAAGTTGATGGACATTAAACCACGGGAGGCAAAAGCTGATGTTTTAATTTTAATATCAATAAAATTTCTAGATAAAAACTATATATGTAGAAATTCTGTAAACTTTGGTACTATTACCTATGGTATGAGTACGTATGTAAGAGGCATCAGGTATCTCAGTTTCAAAGATACCTTATCTCTAAATACGAGACCCTTACCAAACTTGTATTATGTATAGTTTATTTAGCACATACAGCTTTTTTCTAGGGAATAATACGAATTGAGTTATTTTCCTCTTCTGGAATCTATTGAAGTCTGGCTGGACTAGCTGCGCAAAATCAGTACTTGAACTATTTTATTGAGGATTACATGAAAAATATGCCAATTCTCAAGACCTGCTTTTTTTAGTCTATCTAATTTTTTTTTTTTTTTTTTTTTAAATAATATGAATTTAATAAAAGACAAAGTAAGTTGTTATAACTTGTATTTCCCACTAATTTGTTTTTATTTTAATTTAACATGTTTCGCTAACACTGTAGCTTCGTCAGAAACTTTTCAATTCCAACTTTTGTTGAAGCTACAGTTTTAGCAATACATGTCAGATTAAAATTAAAATAAACTTGTGGAAAATACAACTTACTTAATTTGTTTTTGATTACAAATGGATTTCCACCATGTAAATGGCAACTCTATTCAAGAATATTTACTTATAGAATTGGGAAATCTGGGGCTTGAAGATGATAATAGTGGTTTTTCCAATGACTGAACTTTTTCTGATCTAAGTCGACAGTCTGTCCTGAAGTTTCTTGGACACTGCTATCAATTTTTTTTTTACTCCCCTCTAACAAAATCAAGGTGCAGGCGCCAGGCAACAATAGACAATCGATACCGTGACGTCAACCAGGGCATGCGGATAAAGTCGATAGATAGGGCTAGTGAAAATTTGCCCGAGGGTAGAGAAACATTTGTCTGTCCTTTTCGCAAATGTAGGTATATCAACGTCTGGGAAAAGGACGGATATAGCCTTGCTAAGGGTGAAGAAATTTAGGCAAAGGGGGTAGTTTTTGGGCAAAATGGATGATAGGACTGCTAACCTAACCGGTCTTAGGTTATAGATTAATAATGAATAAAATATAAATATTCTTGTTAATAATCAGATGCTTACCTCTTCACGACGTTTGAGCCATCTGCCACAGGGGCTTTCCTCAAGACTTTCGCTTTCATCTTCAGAGTCTTCACAGCTTTCTCTGGGTGACTTTGGATGTTCCTGAACGTTATTCCGATGCAGCCCCGACATTATATAAACTTAAATAAGCTTATTCTGTCACGAAAAAGCACTAATATTGTCACAATATAGGAATTTGTGAGCATTAAACTATGGTATTCCATCAGAACATTATCTATCCAGTACACTGAATTCTATAAACAAATTCGTTCAAACACTATATTGAGGGTTCAAGCGCTGGAATATTATTGGATATTGGTTATCAATTAATATTGCACTTCTCCAAAGAAAATTAAATATGACACCACTTAGAAAAGTGAAAATTTATAATAATTATCGGTCTGTAACGTCGAGGTTTTACGTCTTCTGATTCGCGATCTCCAAAATTATTCAAAAAAATTAAGGAAACTTCCACCTACTGTTTGTTCAACAGGAAAATTAGCCTGTCCAAAAGTAAACTAATTTACCCTGTGCCTAAAACCGCAGTCATTAACTTACGAAAAAAAAATATATTTAGGTCCGAATAACTTAAAACTCGTGCAATCAACGAAACACGAAACAACGGATGAATGATGATTTTAAAAAGTTGAAACAAACTCGAGTTTGGACTACACTGTCGCGACTCTCGCTCGTTCTGGACTCGGGTCCTCAGTCTTAACTGACTGATGTGATGACTGAACTATGAACCTGCGTAACCGAACCAAACGAACCAACCAAAGTGGCTGTCAGTAAACTGACCAACCAGCAACGAGGGACGCGTTCGAAATTGTGTGTATGTTCGGGAAGCATTTTAAGGGTACGAACTGAAATACTCTGTTTTAGAACGAAAAAATACGTTTTTAGCGTTGACTTCAACACTGCTGACATTTTGCATACGGATACCGCAAAAAAAATCTTGTTTTGTTGAATTCTCTTGTGAAAATTTGACGTATTTCGTTTACCTGACGTCACGATATTTATAGGGAAATCCAATCAATATGGCGGCCACGGTCAAGCAATTAAATTGGCGCTATAAAAAATTTCATTTACCTTCAGACAACCGTCACGTTTTGTTAACATAAAATTGTTTTCTGTATATTTTTCGATGTTTTAAGGCAGTTCAGTAAACGTTCGTTAAAGAAAATTTAATATTTATTTATTCATATAAGTAAATTAAGTAATGCTAAAAACACGATTGTATCCCAAAAACATTTAGGGCAAATTACAAAATGATTTTTAGTAAGCAAAAAATGGAATAACTGATAAAAACTAATCAATATTTTTGCAAATTCGCAAAATTTGAAATCAAGGGAGCGGGATTTTTTTGCAAAGGATAACGCTCTGTAGATTTTGCCCATTTTTTGATATGTTGTAGAGGATTTAATTCTTAACAACCTTTAAATGTGACGAAATTTTGTCCTACGTCCCTTGAGATATGAGCGTTGAAAGATAGGATGACCATATATACAGTATTTCGCTTTATTGTACAGCATTTTGAAAGTCAGTCCAGCATTTGATTTTGTACAACAAACGTACAGCGATTCGGATCATAATTCAGTTTTTCTTAAAAATTTTACGAAAAATTGTCCGCCGATAACTAACGTCGAATCTCTACATTTTTTTTTTCTGCAAATGCATTTTCTTTGTTATTTTTTCATTTTTGGTTGGGAGCTAATGGCCATCTCCACCAACTAATTTAGGGAAGCCCTAACGATAGGTATGCCTTAAACTGACATTTCTCCATGTAAAAATGTCATTTTAGGGAATACTTATCGTTAGGGCTCCCCTAAAATGGTTGGTGGAAACGGCCATAAGTGTTTTCTATTATTATCCAATTAAAAACTTTTTTGGGCGTGGCACGTTTTTTTTTTTTTTGTATTTAGTGTTTCTTCCACTCGCCTGTCCCAAAATTTCAGATGTGTACACGGTGGCGTGCCTGAAGGGCCCGCGGTGCGGGAGGGCCCCGGGATATTTGGGGCCCCCAAATGGTATCATTCTCACACAAAATATTTTTCCACCTATGTCAGTTCGAGTGTTAGTTAAAGAAGATCTTCAAAAAAATCGAAGATTTCTCAATTTTTGCACCCATCGGCAGTGTTGCCAGATGAAATTTAAAAAAATCGTGAATATCGAGAAAAAAAAATCGTGAGAAATCGTGAGACTTAAAATTGCTTTAATATTATAAGAAAAAAAGCACAAGAATGTTCTTTTATAAATTTTTGATGAGGTGAAGTAGGTAAACATGATTTTACATTCATAAACATTTTATTATTAAATCTTTTGTATCCTTGTATTTTCGTTTTTTAGCGTGGTTTAGGTGTTTCTGGAAGGAGTCTCGTTTTGACTGAGATCACTATTCGCAAAATGCTCATAAGGCGTACACGTCCGCCAATTCTTGAGTCGGCAACTGGTCTGTGAGTGACGTCACCACTATCAGCAGCTGATAGTAGGATGTCACCCGCAGACCTCGATGGATTTCTTGCGATTCAGGCTGTGCTTGTGAGTCAATTTTTTCGTCAATTTTAAATTTGGAAACGGTGATTTTAACGTTTAGGAATTCGGATACTGCATTTTACGCCAAGAGTTGAGGCTGAGATTGACATCGCAGACACTTTCACACTTTCAGATCAATAAGCAGTCCTATTGGCTAGGTTCGGCAATTGCATCTGCGAGCAAAAAGAACAAATTTTGACAGATGTCACGTGATTTGACACGTGGAAAAAGATAAGTGATCACGTGGCGTTCATCAAAATTTGCTGTTTTTGCTCGCAGAAGCAATTACCGAACCCAACCCTAATGTTCTTGGGCGCGCATGCACCAGGAGCGGCGTAACATAAATAAATATTGTTTAGTGGATTTTTATGTCGATTAAACATTATATTTAATTACTGATTTGTACCAGCTACTACAGAGAGAATTCGTGAGAATTGCTACCTCATTCGTGAGATCGTGAAATTCTGATAAAAATCGTGTAATCTTACGAATAATCGTGAAATCTGGCAACACTGACCATCGGAGGCATTGGAAATGATAGAGATATAATTTAGCGTAAAATCTTGAAACAACTTTATATAAAATCGGTTAATTTTTACTCCACCCCAGACTCCAACGCTCCATAATTTTGCTCACACCGGCAACACTTTAATACATTTTTTTATGTTATTTTTTGTTAACTTTTATTTTCACCGAAACTGTTCAGGGCCCCCAAGGAGAATCTCGCGAGAGGGCCCCCAAGAAACTCGGCACGCCCCTGTGTGTACAGCGTTCACACAAAAAAATATGAGGCGTTTATCGCGTCCACTTTTTTAAAACTGGTGCAAAACTGTTTTGAAAAACTCTTTGAATATAAAACTACAGGAAGGAGCGTTTTCTATCTGTCACTACAGACAACGCAGGGTCGAAAACGGCCATATTGAGCACCCACGTATGACTCATAATTTGTTTTGGTGGTCCGCTGTGTCCCTCATTCAAGTGGATGTATAATGGATTTTAGCGGTTTTAAGTGATAATAAGCACTGGGAATAGTGCGTAAAGGGTGAGTCATTATATGACAGAGGATGCGCGGGACTCCGAAGCTCTGTGACCAGGGTACGGCTAACACCCGTATTCACCAACCACCGATAACTGCTTATCAGTCTGATAAACTGCTTGTCAGACTGTTAACTTAAAATTCGGTATTCACCAACCTTGAGTAGTAGATATCATGATATCAATCCGATAAAGTTGTCGGTCGAAATTTGGGGTGTTAAGGAAGTTATCCATCTGATTAGGGTTTCCATGAAGGTTTTTGGGAATCCAGGACCTAAGAGTCAAGAAATCCGGACAAAATCCGGACTTCGCCGATAAATTTTTTATGAGGGATGAATTTTATTTATTTTTTGCAAACATAAATTTTTACAGAAATTAATAGATACGCTTTGAGCATTTTTACCGTTAGACTGAAGAAACAATGACAAATACAAGGTACCAATGACAAGAGACAAAAATATAATACATGTATCAATCCTATAGGCTTTGCTATAGGCAATCCAGAATAAATGGATATAGGATACAATTTATTTGCCACCCCAGGATACAACATTTCGAATTTTTGGTAGGAGAATACACACTCTAAGGACTCTAAGGAGTGCTTATCTCTGGCTTATCGGCCTTGTTTTTGGTAACTGCTGCCATATTGGTGTGAAATGCTGTTTAAACAGCCTACGTCAAGGCGAAAAATAACATGCAGCCTACGTCACAACTGGTATTTGGGCGTGGGGGGGATTTCTACTTTAAGTTTCTGGTTTGTTACACACAGGCTTTATGAGGATAGGTCATCCTGTAATAGTAGTGTGTATCATCACTATCATTCTTGGGTATCTCCGAGTTTTCCGGACATTATTTCGAATTCCGGCCGGACGTCCCCGGACACCCTAAAAACCCAAACATGTCCGGGTAAATCCGGACGTATGGAAACCCTACATCTGATAAGTGTTATTTTGTTTTGTTTCGAAAAAAAATCGAATGTAAACCAGACAAATTTTGAGGTTGTTAAATGAAATGAAGTTAGGCGCAGAGGAAAACTGTTCACAGAATATATGGATTTTTATTTTTATCAATCTGTTTGTTACTTTGATAAAACTACAGGAAGGAGCGTTTTCTATTTGTCATTACAGACAACGCAGGGACGGAAACGACCATATTGAGCCGCCAAGTATGACTCATCATTTGTTTTGGTGGTTCGCTGTGTCCTCATTCAAGTGGATGTTTAATGGATTTTAGCGGTTTTAAGTGATAATAAGCACTGGGATTAGTGCGAAAAGAGTGAGCCATAATATTGACAATCATATTTAAATAAATATACGCCACTGCCAAACCGGAAACACTAGTCGGCCATATGCAATCTCCACATATTCTGGTCGCGCAGATTCGAGGTTATGCTCCTTCCTAGTTTTATATTCAAAGGTTTGTTATCAGAAGGACCATTTTTATTGGTGAATAGCACTTGCTGTTATCCGACCGATAAATGTTAACAGACTGACAGCTATCAGATCGCTAAATTGATTTTGGTGAATACGGGCGTTAGCGATAAGTATTCCTTGAAATGACATTTTTACATGGAGAAATGTCACTTTAAGGAATACTTATCGCTAAGGCTTCCTTAAAATGGTCGGTGCAAACGGCCATCAATGACTGTTTTTCTCGCTGTTTTTCTCCGCCTCTAATATCATTTTTTTACTACTAACCTGAGAATAATAGTCATTATTCAATCTATTTCTCTAGGAAAAAATTGAATATCTCTCGCTAGGTTAATAATGAAATTAATGAAAAAAAACATAGGTTAATAATAAAAATGACGTCATGACGCAAGGATATTGTCATGACGTACCAGGTTTCTAGTGGTTTAATTTCAATTTCAACCCGTCAATAAAAAAAAAAACAGGTTCCTGTATGTACATAGAACAGTACCATAAGCTGTTGATAGCATTTTTTGAAATTTTGCATACGGAACAGTTAGGGTGCTCGAAACAAATACAGTGCTCGTGCTCGTACAACAAACAAAAAAAAAAATACAAAAAATTCCAAAATGGAATGTTTTGGAATTCCTTGGTATATTTCGGAATTTTTTAGAATTTTTTGGCATTTTTTGGATTCTCGCATACGGAATAATTAGATTAGTGCTCGAAAAAGATACAGTGCTCGTGCTTGTCAATAATCCCAAAAAAAAATGCCAGAATGGCATTTTTT